TGTGATCCACTCTGTTTAAATGTCTTTTTAGTTTTTACAACTATTATTAAAATAAATAAAAACCTCGTGTTTATATTATTATTGTTGTGGTAGTGCGTGTATAGTGATTATGTGATTTTCAACCTCCCTAACACCTATATAATAGTATGCACATAGAAAATAATAAATATCCATCGCTATAGTTTCTAGTTTAAATAGTGACTATAATAATATTATAATGTCTGGTTTTAGTGGTAGTTGAAAAATGTTTTATTTATAGAGCGTCTGAAAACTACCAAGTAGACCAAACGTAATTTCGTGATTATACATGGCATTATATACAGCAAACTAATATATAATACAAATTTCAAACATTAAATAAACAGTAATAATGCATATAACATAATGCACTAAATATAATGTCTTGTACGATCTACAAAATTTAATTTATAGTTTTAACTATATAGATAGTCAACAACGGATATAATATTATAGAATTATTATATAATAATAATATTACAGAACTAAAAAATATTACATATTATATTATACATTTATATACCTACTCGGCGTTTAATTTTATTTAAAACATAATGTAATAAATAAAAAAAAAATCACAGTTTAGCAGGAAAAAATATAAAGTTTTCGTCAATCGTAAATTTTGAGCATATAAAATATTTTTATATTGTGTATATTATATAAAATTACAAAGTTAAAACGCGTTCGTGCCACATATGTTTTTCTGTTGATATAATTTTATGTAGTTTTAAATTTACGATGAACAGCTTTTATACACGTTGAATATCATAAAACTCGTTTCAATGAAAATATGAGGGACGTGTAAAAAAAATTACTTAACCACCCCTAGCGCGAACGGCAGCAATCATTTATGTGCTTGCTTAAAATCTTTCTCCAAATATAATATAAACTTGCACACGGATACAGTGTAAACATTGTAAACATCATGCTGCACCCCGCGAGGGTGTATATAAAGTATATTAAGATTAAAAAAAAAGGAAAAACAATAATTGAAATAAATTAAACGCGAAAACACACACACTCGAACGCACACGCGTACTATGATAAACGATAACTGTGAATTTATAGGGAAAACATATTTTAATGCCATAAAATCGTATAATTTATTAGTTCATTTCGACGATTGCAATTATTAACGAACGTCGTCGGTTTTCCGCGCATTATATTTATTACATCAACGGATATAATAATACAATTATTACACCACACTTCTAGTAGTTTTCGTTCAAATTCAATCACGCCCCAAAATCATAGTGTGTATAACAGTTATTTATCACGATAATATTATTGTGGTAATCTACAAATACGTCTAAACTACAACTCCATACAGCATTTTTGTTTGAGACGCCGTTTTTGTATAATATCATTATAAATTGTATCATTACATTTTCGTACGTATATCTACAGAATTATAATTTTGATAACACTATAGAGTTATTATTTTTTTTATGAAATATATATTATACGAACATAGTTTTGTTCGGGATTATCGTATAGGGAGGCCGATGAAACGTGTTGAATATTTTTAAGAAAGACAAAATGTCCGAAAAAAGTCGTTCACAGATACATCCGAAAAAACCGTCCTGGCGAGGAGGAGAAACATTTCACAAATCGATGGAAATTAACGCCACCGGAAAGTATTATGTGTTTTTTTCGTATATTATTGTATTACATTATAATAACCTAAGATTACGAAATAAACATAAACGCACCACTTAGGCCGTCGGGCTACTTTTATCGAGTTTGATGTAAAAAATCGTAATGGGAATCAGCAGCTTAAATATATCGCTAATAGTTAAATGTGTCGAAAAATCACGGCCTAAATCTATTTTGATATCTATAAAATATGTTCCGACGAGTTACTTACAAGTTATAGTGAATTATATTATATATCGTATACACCGTGAAAGTTTACAGGCCGTGTGCTCAGCAGACAAACAGTAAAATAAACGATGATGAATAAAATAAATGTATGGACACACATGCACCAAGGATTGGTGAAAAAAAAACAGATCCGGAGTCCCTTATTTAAATGTTTTAGAAACCGGAACTGATAGTACTCAAGGCACGTTTCCGCGTTTAATAGCATCGTTTTTTAATTTTTATATAATTTTTTATCCAAGTTGTATCATATAATATGGTATTATATTGCAAATGGTATAAAACCGATGGTGAGATCAATTCGAAACAGACATCATTTCGAAGAACCTACCACAGGCGCAATTTCCACTTTTACTTGGGGGGTTGAATGTTATTATAGGCAAGCAGACCATGAATATAGCATTTTAAAATTTGTATATCCTAGGTGTTTGGGGGGCAAAGTTTGAGTGGGGCTAAGCATCCCAGGCCTCCCCCCCAATTTGCGCCTACGACATCTCACATAACCGATCCGATAAGATCCTTCAACGGTTGCAGTCCCCGCAATACGTAATCCCAATAACATTATCACATTTTAAATTAATTACAAATCGCTTATATTATAATATAGATGAGATGTTCTCGCTTATATTATTATAATAACGATAAAATTATGATTGTGCGATGCACAGAAGGGTATGCAATTGATTCGATAATGTGTCGTAATCGGTCGCCATAGCTGTACGCCATATGAATTCCTATACGAGTCAACATCGACTGAACTAATTGTAATTGGTGTACTATATTATCAAATACACAGATAGAATTAATACATGCATAAATATTTTACAAAATAATTTTAAAAAATAGTTATAAGCAATAAAAAATATTTTTTTCAGTCATACGATTCTTCAGTTACTACATAAGTTGTACTAGTATATAACTGCATATTGGCTCACGATTAGAAAACAATTATTTAAGTCAATGAGTATAATATATATATATATATATATAGATATCTACACAATATCTATGTACATACAAATTAATGTTTGTCTGTCTGTATGTGTGTGTGTCCTTTAAGCATTCCTAAACGGCTGGACCGGTGTTGATGAAATTTTGTACAGAGATAGATTAGCCCTCTGGGCAGAAGATAGGCTAATTTTAAAAGGGAGGGGACCAGCTCCGGGAGGTGCTATAACAGGGATTTTGAGATTTCCGATGGAAATTTTTGTTTATAAATGGTTGCCATGTATTATAATAATAATTATTGGTTGCCATTGGTTTAAAATAAACAAATTATAGAGTTGGCATTTTAATGGGCAACGAAGTGCACGGGATCAGCTAGTAATTAATATCATTATCATACCCAAATTGTAATAAATTACAATTTTCTAATAACTTACTACCTAACTTATAATATTTATAAATGTATACTCGTATTAATTGGTCATTTTGTCAACCGTTACGGACCTACTGCGCACGTTGAAAAACGATGATGTTTAGAGTGACGATTTTTTTTTTTAAGGTTCCGGACTATCCTCACCATGATAACGCTTGTGGCCTTCTGAGACCATTATATCATCACGGGCGACATTATATACATTTACAGTTGTAGCTCATATATGTGGTACTCGCTCGTATACGACTGCAGAAAAGTCAAATCGCCACGTTAGTAGTTCGTCGCCGTCTCGTTGCGTGGGACCTATACGAGTGTATACGGAAGTTCGGATGCGTAGGAGCCCGGAAGGAATTGTTTTCGGGAAAGCGGACTTACTGCTATATTATTATTTATTATATACCTATATACATGTACACATTACACACACACACACGTCCAACCCGACCTGCAGCAGACGTTGTCCCGCGCGTATATACATAATATGATATAATATACTTGCACACACACTCGCCAGCACAAACTTATACAGTACAAACTTACACACGTTGTGTTCATGTGTATTATTCGCCCGTTTACGTTATATATATATGTGTTGTGTAGTAGTGGCGATATAGCGTCTCGAGACTTTGCAGGACCGAAACCGTATACCATACACACACACACACACTGGCTACTGGCATATATAAGCGTTATTACGGTCTAGGGATCAGCCCAGATCGGGCGGAGGCGGCGTAAAGGAAATATTATATGTGCGGGATATAGCGGATATACATATATATATACGGCGTGCGCGAAACGACATTCCGGAATCAAACCCCGTCATCGCCCCTCCGGAGGGTAACGTTATTATATGTGAGTGTGTGTACGGCGTCCGTTGATTTATATCTTGAATTATTGCTAATAAGTATAACCGACTGTTGACGGTTATGGTATAGGCGGAGGAACGGCGTGGATGCTTGCTGTGATATATATATATATGTGTGTGTGTGTGTGTGCGTATTATAGCACGACTAGGATCTCATCGCAGACGTAAATTATATTGTATTGTTATTATTATATATATATATATATATATACGACGGTAACGTTATTAACGGAGACCGATATACGCGAACACGTGATATGATATTATATATAATATATAGTCCGACACCGTTTATATATCATATCGCATTTGATATTGTAAGCAATATATTATTACGATGCGATAATAGTGCAGCGTGCCGCTTCGAGAAGATTTTCGCCGTTTATCTCTCCCGACACGCGTTCGATCGGTCGAATTTCCATCACCTTTATAATAACAATGCTGTCTAGTGAGATCTATTGTAATATACGTGTTGTAGGTATCCCTAACCTGCGCGACGGTCTTCGCTCGGTTGTACGCACTTTACTGCTGCCTAATAATAACACGAGTATTATATGAAATTACAACAGCGTTTATAACGCCTGCGCCATATTATTGTGACGTTATTTTCCATCGACGAAAGATAATTAATTGTCCGAATGTAATATATTATTAGGACGCGGCGGATGCTAATGCAGTAGAGGTATTTACAAAATGTTCGCTGTCGATTGGAAAACAATAATATTTTTATAACCACCGGTATCGTTTGGATCCGTGTGTGTACGAGGCCAGGCGATTTTAATCGGGTCGACGGATAAAACTGTTTTGTGGTCGTGGGGGCGGGACGGGGAGCAGTAGGGGGGGGGTGGTAACACAGCGATGATGATGACGACGAGGGAGGTGCGGGGAAAACGTGGCGATGGCGTCGGCGGTGCAAGAAAAGTTTGCGCGGCAACAAATTATTCGACGGTAGTCCGAGTGTCAGAGTCATACGTACACTCCTACGGCGGTGTACGGCGAGAGGTGGAAAACCGGTGCGAAAGCGTTGACGATGGCCTCGGCCCCGGAGCGGCTGTGAAGGGGTTAGGTGGGTGGGTGGGTGGGGCGGCGAGGACGAGACAGAGAGGAGTTATTATGGGTCTTAACCGAGCATAAATTTCACACGGCGGAGGGGCCAGAGGGGTCGTTTATTGCTTTTACGACTGTCGTCGTCGGCCCGTATGATGTCATCCCTTTGGCTAACAAAACGAAAAAAAAAAAAGAAAAAAAACAATAATACAAATCATCCCTCGCCGTGGCCCGGCGTGTGTATATAACGCGTGTACACATATACAGTGCTGCAGCGGTCCTATTGAAACGAAAACCGAACGAGAAAACAAACACACACTCCATGTCACACAAGTAGGGGGAAAAAATTCCCCGTCTCGGTCGACCACAATAATAGAGCACACATAGTTATAACATAATGTCGAGCTTTAAAGAAGTGTTTTGATTGCACTTCCGTCGGAAACGAGTCCGGAAAAACAATCAGAAGAGTCGATTTGGTTGGGCCGAAACCACCGAGAGATTTCGAAGCTATAGCTATATTATACAAGCGGCTGTCGTGCTAGAGAGAGCGTAGCCCCGTTCGACCTACACAAGTGTGGGGTAATTTCTAAATTTCCAATCGTTGAAAATATAATATAGTTACACATGTTGTGAAAACGTTTAATCGCCTTCCAAAAAGTGTTAAAATACGAATTAGTTAAGCTATTGTTTTGGAAAAAAATTGTATCAACACGATCGCGGTCAAAATGACATAAGCTCCAAAGGTTCAAAAATGACATATCATTTGAGTCAAAATTAATATTTTATGTAAAAATCTCGTGTTACGTCTTTGTACTGAATAAACTCTGAAACTACTGGACCGATCTTGATGAAATTTTTACAATGTGTGTAATTTGGATGAACTTAAAAGACAGGCTAATTTTAAAAGGGAGAGGATCAACCCCGGGAGGTGCTAAAACGGGAATTTCGAGATTTCAGATGGACATTTTTGTTAATAAATGGTTGCCATGAGTTTTCAAGCTATTATAAGAATAATAATAATAATAAAAAAATAAATAAATATATTTGCTTTACTTTGCCTGCCTACCTGATAATGTACTGCTGCAAATCAGAAATTTTATTTCGGGCAACGGAAAAGTTACGATACATTTTGTACACCATACACCGAATATTAAATAACGAATTGAGCAAAGTTTGAGTCATATAGAGTTGATACATTTAACGGGCATCGGGAAGTGCATGGGATCAGCTATTATTCTACATAAATAGTTATTTAAAAATGTCGATCTTATAAAAAATTGTCAATAAATATAATAGAAATTAATAGTCTATAGTTGTAAAATTATAATTTTAATAAATCAGTTGATTTTTCGATATTCGATCTTATAAAAAATTGTCACTAATAAATTGTTAAAATATAATATTATATAGTTCTAAATTTAATATCTATTAACCATGGCACACAGGTACTTATCTAGAATTTTGGCGCTTTCGTAAATATTTATTTTTTCTTATCTCATTTTGGCGCTTATGTCGGATCAATATACAGACAACTGCAGCTGATAACGATGCGTAATCACACTTTTATTGATAGGTAGAAGAACCTTTACTGCAAAGTTGCCTGCACGTCTTGCTAACCTCGTTCAGTTGCTATTGATATTGTTTGTGAATGGCTCAAAACCGATAGCTATAATATTTATATCGATTCGTTTGGGATATTCTATAGACTCTGGTCTTATATACTCGGGGGGTAGATTTTCTCCGAATAAAATATAATACTATATCCGGTACATGATATATTTTTCGTGATATTTTCATATTTTTTTTTTAGCCACTGTCGATCGCATACTGGAATAATTTTTTAAACCATTTTATAGGACGTATTAAACGGTTATTCCGGCCGGTGACGAGTGATCGGCACGAGAGTCCGACCGACCGACAACTCACACCTAAGTATTACGATATCATAATATTATACGCACGTCGTATGATCGTCTACGACCAAGACGGCTCTACGACGACGGCGACGGACGGACGGACGGACGGACCGCGGGCGCGACACGATTTATGCACACGAATTAAAAGTGGTGGTAATGCCAGTAATTTATGTGGCGTTTCGGCTTTGTGATTATAATTTATATGTTTGCCCGGCACTTCGTAATGAAACTTGCTTTTGATTTATATTTCGTTATTATATTAATGCGTCCGCTCGTACGTATACCGCCGCCGCCACCGCACTGTATATATGCTCATATTATTATATATACATGAAATATACACAGGAGGGTATATAATATGTGTGTGTGTGTGTATACACTCGGTATATGCGGTAACGTTGTCTTTCGCCACCACCCGATTTCGCATTCGGAAATCTTCCGCCGACCCTCCCCCTCGCGCGCGTAGTTCAACCCTTTTTTACTATTATTTATTATTATTTATTTACGTTTTGCGTTCTCGTCGCGGCGTCGAGTGACGGCCCGCCGCCGAAAGTCGGGTCGCGTGCGATAAGCCCATTCGTTCGCCGCACCGAACTCGAGGTGTAAGTACACATATACAAACATGTAGGTATATATATATAATATTATATATACACAGTATTACCCACATACTTTATATATATATATATATAATATTGTGTTATGTGGTGTGTGTGTGTGTGTGTGCGTGTGTGTGTGCGCCCGCGTTTACTTCCTGTTTTAAGCATATATTTATATTACACAATATATAATAATACTATTATATAATATTATATTATGTATATTGTATATACCGAAACGTTTTTAAAAATATAAAATTATAACGCTGCGACACCGATCGTGATTTACGACGCGTCCCGACCGAAACGAAAGAAAATCGATTTTCTCCAGTTCGTCCAATATAATATGACTGGCTAATGAGATAGGAATATATTATTATGTTGTATACATATTACACATGACTTATGCAAGACTTGGTCATCGATAGATTCGCTATAAATAATTGCAAAGTCCACCTTCTTCGTATTATTATATTTTGATCGAATTTAACCTACGTTCCAATATGGCAAAAGGTACATAACATAATATGATTTAACAAGTACTTGGATTACTTATTTAAATTACAATTTCTTTGTCAAATTCGATTTTATTACACGCTCAGTACATAGAACCTATTGAGGAAGTGTCTATGATGATTCTAAGTCACTAATCCACACCTGAAATTCTCCCGTCCTACACGTGTCCTCCATTGCCCACCGACGACGGTCACTTATTTATTTTGAATATCATTTATTGTGATTCCGATTAGGTGACGAAATTAGACGATTCGTTGATTTGTGGTTCATATATTTTTGTTTCGGCACATTTAGTAAAATCCAATCTAACATAATGTACAAACCGCCAATTATTTGATTGTGTCTTACTCGCATAGTATTGTTTATGACGATTGAATAATGTTACAGTTTTGTTGTTTAAAAACAACGTTCACATTAATCGTATAGCCGTCACGCAAAAACGAGACAACGATAACGGTAGGACATGATATCATTACTTTGCAGTTTGCACATTTTCAAACAGATTTAGTTCGCCAGTATAATCAAAGTTGTAAACTATCCAATAAGAAATGCAATATTGCGGAAACATTTATTTAAATATAAGTTAGTATAAGATTTCATAAAGACGATAATATTATTAATTTGTACTGTTTACACGTATGTTTACGTGCTTATCATTCTTTTGATAAAACAAAATCTTGGACCTTACTGATGCAGTGAAACTTACTAGGTTTGAAATTTTATGAAATATATAATTCAAAAATATAAATAACATATTTGTAAATGATGTATGACTGATAGTATATACATACAGATAACTATAATAGATTAAACAGCAGTATTCTAAGCACATTTTTTAACCTTAACACTTAAAATTTTAAAAATGTTATACACCAAAGCAAGGGCGAGTTAAGAACTATTTCTCAGATCTGACCAAGAGTATTTTTTCGAGTATTTCGTTAAATCAGTTTCCTTCAAAAATATCTAAAAGTTAGTTATGAATTAGGATCCCAGGTTTATTGCCAAATGCCCAGAGTAGTAAACATAGGTACAGAAACCTGTGCGAAACAGATTATTATTTTTCAAAAATTGATTTATAATCTTCACGTGGGTGAACTCCCCCTCCTTAATTAGCTGTTGACTCCAGGATTTTACAATTAATTTACTTACCTAAGAAATCCAATTAATTTTTAGTTTAAGTTTTAAGATTTTAGTTTTTGATGCAAAATTATAAGAAATAAAAACTTTTTAACAAATTCTGAAGATAACAGAAAAAATAGTAAATTAATTTAAAATTTTTCACAAAATCTCCGAAACCCTAGAACTACTGAATTTGGTTTGAGTATTTAAAATTTAGATAACCCTAGAGATGATTGTCAAAGGGTTAGATATGCCACAAAATGAGTGTAAGCTATTCCGCTTATCTAATCTTGTAATAGGTACTTAAAGAGTTATTATTAATTAACTAGGTAGACACCTACTTAAATTACTCAAATTTACTTAAATTACTAAAGCTATATTGAAAAACGATTATACCTACTTGCGATATTGTAATGAGTGATCACTGTTATAAGAATCGTAATACGATGTACCTACAGTATATATTATATTATATACATATAAATACTCGTGCAGAACAACGGTACGGGAATGTATTTTAAGAATAAAATAATGTTCTGAGGTGGACTCGGTTTTTTGTTACGGTGCCATAAAGCGGTTTGTTGATTAAATGTACGTATAAAATATTATCTCTAAAAAGTATTTTTGAAAGAGGATAGTAATAATTTTAAAATAATGTGTAGTAGCAGCCAGCAGGTAGACCTAACCTATATAATACGTTGTTATCTTTCCGAAATGACCAAGAGCTATCGTAGAAATTTCCACCCTTCGCATCTACACGGTCAGCAGCGTTATTCGTAATGGGTAAGGTCTTTATGTGACCTCATGTGCTGCAATGGCGGCAAATAGAAACCCGGTACAAAAACCGACAATAGTAATTCTACCTATTACAACGATTACATTTTAATAGGTATTGTTTTCGTTTTACGTTCGCTTGCACGTGTCATGTACTTTTATT